AAATTACTGAGGGGAGGGGGGGAGTGTGGACAGGAGGCAGAAACCAATTATGCCACTCTTAAGCAGGGGCAGGAGGGTGTCTTTCTCCAGCCTTGGCCACTGCCAAGGAAATATTTAAGAGTGGAATTTATGGGATTAGTTCCTCGCTTGGCTCACCGGTGATTTATGCTTACAAGTCCCATTAACATTTATGACTCACTCACTGGAACCGTCTTGCTGCTCCTGCGTAACTAGATGGCACGTTGTTCCGTCTTATCCCGGTTTCAGGTTGAACTGCACAGCTCCTGCCTTCCTGGGGGCAACATCAGCCTTACCAGGAAGGCTACGTCTTGGAGTTAATGCACGCAACAAGAGTTGCAGCATCAAGAGCAGTGGCTTGCTTGGCTGAAACATGATGGCAGCCTGACATCCTCTCAAATGCAGGGCTTTTCAATATTCAATGGTTCAATGCTTCTCAGTGGGGTTCACATGTCCAGACACTGGTGTCACAGGCTCTGCGACACCAGCCAGGACATGATGGGAATAGCTGGATCTGACAGAGGAGGAGGAGGAGGACCCTGGCACTGGAGGTGGGGAAAGTTCAGGCATTGATGGAGAATAAAGCTATGCCCCACGTCCTGGTGAGGGAGAAGTTGGTTGAGTCAGTCCCCATCCCACCTCCAGAGAACGAGCTTCCAGGAGTAGCCGAAGAGCTGGCTGGCCAATCAGTGGAGCCAGCTGAACTGGAGATGAAGGGTTGGGATCAGGTCCCATTGCCAAGGACACATTATCACCTGTGCCAGCGCAAACCAACCCAGAACTCTCTCCCCCCCCAAATCCCCGTAGAAGTGCTTGCTTGCAAGCTCAGTCTTCTTGCCTAGTATCCTAGAATTATGGACATTTGGACATTTGAGCCATGTACCCTCTATTCTGAGCTGATGCTGAGACTGTGTGCAGACTTCTTAATAATTTTATAACAATACGTTTATTATTTGGGCCCCACCCATCTGATTGGGCTGCCCCTGGCACTTTGAACTCTTGGTGTTTCCTGGAGTCCAAGTATAGAAGCCGGGACAGCCAAGGCCTTGAGCGGTAAATCATTGGATAATGTACACCCATCTCCTTTTCTGCACGGCTGCAATTTTGCTGCTGCTGTGAATGCCTCTCTCCTTTCTTTCTGCAAAGCTGTGAAACCTACAGTCCTGGAGGGTGCAGGGGTCAATGTCTATACAGCAAGATAGACAAGAGCAATATTAAATAATAGATCATAATATACTAGGCTAAAATTGGTGAAGTGGGTGAATGGTGCTAGGAAAGAAATTCAAAGCTCAGTAGTGGTTCCACAGAACAGAGCGTGTTCTGTGATGCAATGTGGAATTCCAAAGGTTCAGGCTGTGCTGCTTTCCTGCTTCCAGTGCCCATCTCTGTGCCTCAACAAAAATATAAGCACCCATCCACAGCAGGTGTATACACACACACACACACACACACACACAGGCAATAGGTTTTGAAGCTTTGCAGATCTCTTTTATTCTCTCTCTCTCTCCGAGCCCCAGTTCCTATGGCCATGAGAACTCTGTTCTGTGGGAGAATAAAAATGTGGGGTGAGTATTGTGGTTGTGAAAAGGTGTTTTCCTAAAATCAGGGACGTGCACTCGGGACTAGGGAAATGAGGAGAGTAGAAAGCAATTAGCTTCCTTCAGACTTCAGAGAATTGGGGTTGGGTTGGCGAGAAGCATGCTCAGTATTCTGGAAACAACATTAGCTAAAGGTCATATAAATAGTGGTGTTTTCGCATAGCTCCGATACGAGCACAAAGGATGCTTGGCAGAAATGTCAGTCCTGTAATATTAGAATTTCCTGTTTTGGAGGTGCCATGACGAAACCACAAATCACTCTCTCACATTTTGAAATGGAAGCTGCCTGGAAGTCCAGCGCCCACCTAAGATAGGCCATAGTCTGAAATGGAGCCCAGATGGTGCATAGCGCCTTGCTAACATCTTAAATGTTTTACAGACACCAGGTCCTGACTTCACCTCCTCTCCTCTCATGGGGCCACTTGCTGAGTGCCAGAGCTGATTCTGATCAGCTTCTTGTTAGATTTGTGTCTTGCCTCTTCTTTCCTACTGTGACTAAAGGCTTCGCTTATAAAGGCTGAACTTAACTGAATGCTAACATGGATGTGCAAATGGCATAAAAATATATGTTACTGCAGGTTACTGCCTGCAGTATGATGGTTACTGCAATGGCACAGTATTACCCTTAAGGTCTTCCCTGGGCACCAACAATTATTATTATTTATTGAATAGTATTGAATACTGCCCTATACCCAGAGGTCTTAACAAAGCCTCTGAGTCCTCTTGCACACTGCCAATTGGTTGTGAGATGGTGAACGTGGTTACCCTTTCCTCCCTGGAAAAGTACATAGAGCTGAAGCTGGAAGTTACAAGAGCGACTCTCTTCCCCACTTTAGCTCTATATGTTTTTCAAGGCCCATATTAATACCACCGGATCCAATTTTTACCTACATCCCCTGCAAAAGCAACATGTGTGTGCTTTCTTTCTGTCTCTCGGGGGGGGGGGGTCGGGTCCAGGAGAGGAGAGTAGTACCAGAGGAGATCATATCCGCAGTACTTGCTCAAAAATCCAAAGGCCTGTGTTGGTAACCTGTGTTGGTGACTGCAAAACTGAAAGACAAGCTTTAAACATACTGCGAGATTTCAAACAATGCGCAGTGGCTTTTTAAAATATTAGGCATCCACTGGTGTCTGAGGCTTAAACAGTCATTACCATCATATTTTCTAGCTATTGGTTGGAATGGGCAGAAAGGGCAAAAAATGTTTGTTGTATGTGGACTCTCACAAACTTCTGGGCTCCTCTAGATACATCTTACGGGGCCTTAGGTTAATTTCTCCTGCTTAAGAGTAGTACAACCTACAGGTTAGTTAACTTTAGACTATTACAGACATTTAAGTTTTTACAATAGCCCCTGACCTATGCATAGTAAGGTTTAATGAGCTTATAATATACCGTACTACAAATCCCAGACAGCCCAAAGAAAAACTTGATGGGAATATCCCAACTCAGTCAAGTTCCAAAATAAATTTTGAACATTGCTTTATAGCAAGTAAGACCATTGATCTATCTAGGATTGAAACTGGGACCTTCTGATTGCAAAGCAGATGTTCTCCCTCTGAACTATGGCCCCTAACCACCCATGCACAGCATTGGATCTCTGACCACTGAATTATCCGCTGAATCCTATGAACCATGAGGGAAGATCTGCTTGTCCAATGTGGGATTTTCTGCCTCCTCCTTTCTACTGCAGCCTCCTCAAAATGGCTCCCTAGGGTTTTGCAATCCCTCCAGAACTTCACCGGATGCAGCATAGGCAGTTGCTACTGGGTGATTTGGGGAGTAATAGTCAGAAATCAGATTGTTGGATCCAATTCATTCAAAGAACTGCAACTATTGTAAGAAAGAGCTACTGTCAACCACAGCAACCCAGTGCAACACAAAAGTACTTCCCCATGTCATTCCATGGAGCACTCCCAACCCTGCGTGATGTGGGTGGGGAAACAGTAGGGCATGGGTAGGCAACCTAAGGCCCGGGGGCCGGATCCGGCCCAATCGCCTTCTAAATCTGGCCCACGGACGGTCTGGGAATCAGCATGTTTTTCCATGAGTAGAATGTGTGCTTTTATTTAAAATGAATCTCTGGGTTATTTGTGGGGCATAGGAATTCGTTCATTCCCCCCCCCCAAAAAAATGGTCCGGTCCACCACATGGTCTGAGGGACTGTGGGCCAGCCCACAGTCGAAAAAGTTTGCTGACCCCTGGTCTAGGGTGCTCACACGCACATTGCTTCCATGAATATGTGGAGAGGAAGCAAGCACCCCACAACATCCACATGTGAAGTTTGAAAAGGGTAGTCTACGCATGTTTCAGACAGTGTGCCAAAGGTGTATACCATTTTGTAGACACATAACCCAAACTTTTCCTGGTGCAAATTCCTTTTCCTTCCGACAGCAAAGCATCCAGCTAATGACACAATTCCACATTCGTTCCACTCTTCTGTCTTATCTTTTCGCTGCTCTGGAGAGCCTTCTGCCTTATCTCAGAAACAAATGGCGTCCAGGACAGCTTTAAGCAGCAGAGCCATTTATCTGCCTGACATGTGTTTCCCTGTTTGTTTTCTCTAGCCTTGAGACACCAGCTTTGACAATATTTAGCTGTGTCAACTGTGGCAGGCTGCTGAGCCCACTCACTCCAGAGGTATGAATCAAATTCTTTGGTACATTCATCATATACTGGAGTAAATAGAGGCTCATCAGTGCTTCCTTCATCTGATATGAAATGAACTCTACATATCTTTCAGGGAGAGGAGTCAAAGGTGGGAAGTTGTCTTTTTTTAAATAAAAGATAAAGCTTTGGCCAATCTACAGCATTACCCTTCAAGAGTTACCAGGCAGAAAACTTTTCTTTCAGAATTTCAGTTCTGTCATGAACACACTGAGCACACTTAGTGAAAAGCCTGTTGGTTAACATGTTGATAATCAGAATACTGAAGACAAGTATTCTGTTTACATTGTGTCACACTGATATACAGATGCTAAGATATCGTCCTTTTGAGGATTCATTAATTTGATCCTTTTGGGGACTTCCTGTTCAGTCTGACCAATTTTTTTCTATTTTCTGCACAGATCAAACAGGTATGTGAACTAATTATGTGAATCAGCTAACATGTACACAGATCACCAACCTGGGATAAGACAAGCTGTATGATTTTTTTTTTGCTTCAGGCAGATGATTGACAGTTTACAACATTCAAGCCAGGCAAGGAATGGGAAACCTCCAATTATTCAGATTAAAATTAACCCACAGCATTCTGAAGTGGCTAACCACACTCCCCGAAAGTTTTTTTTTAATGCAAATTGGGAAACATTCATTTATTTAAATGTTTATTTGGTCACCTCATCACTTAGGTTTGGGGTAAAGAGCTATGAAATAAAGAATATATCAACCGTCAGTTAGCATTTATTAACATGAGGCAGAAGCTCTAACCACCGACTTAACCTGGGCTCCTAAACGACCTCTCAAAGAGAAAAACTCTTGCAATGTTTGCAAAAGATGCTGAGGTTCTGAAAAGCCTTCAGTTGGACAGAGTTCCAAGTAAAGGAAAAACCTCTCCAAATAAGCTTTGCTGTTAGAATATGGACAGCATGGTTAAAATAGGTCCAGATACTGTAACGGGACACACAGAAGGCGGTCACTTTCCATATGGAACAGAACAGAGCAGCTTCACACTTCAAACACAGGTCGCAGCAGAGCTGGCTTCTCCACAAAGAAGCATGAAGAAGAGATGTATCAGGAAGACACAGGTTTGGGTGCGTGCATCCTCCTTCAAAGTTTGCAAGTTTTACTAAGGTAAACAACAGAGGAACATACTGTAATGCATCAGCTATGGAAAGTATGCAGCTGTCCGAAGTGTATATATGAATTTGAGTACCTGAATGGATATGATTTATCTATCGTAGGAGAAGTGATCTAAAATAGCACACTCCCTCCCTCACAAAGCGAAGCATGGGGAATGACACTGTAAGGAAGATGCGTGAGGGGGACCCTTTTTGTTTAACAAATTTATACACCAACAATACAATACAAAAGTGCAACAGCTTTCAAGTGCGACAGTTAAAGCACTGGGAGAGAGGGTGGCTGGCTGAACATAAAATAATAATAATAAAAAAATACAGATGACTGAACTCAAAACACATCTGCAATAGATTATTGTAGCCACCGTTTTGGAAACAGTTGGGCCTTTTCCCTTGTTGGCTTTGGCTGGTGAAAGCACCACAGCCAACCTTGCTTGTTCATTTGGCAGGTATAAAGATGGCTGAACAGAACAGGGGCTATAGCAGGGCAGGAAGAGATACCTGCAAGATTAGAATGCCGGCAACAAAAATATCAGGAACACAGACTTCCCAATGGTGGGGGGAGGAGGCAAATGTGAGGCACTGCCTTCTAGCTGGTGGGGTGTAGCGAGGCATTTCCTCTTTCTTAACAACGTCAGAAGGTTGAAACACATGCTACAGGCATCCTGTGCCACTGAAAGCTGCATCCCCACACAGAGGTTCCTCCCTTTCCTCTCACAACATTTAGAAACACTTGGCTGTGTTGTAACATCACCACAGTCTTTTCCCACTCCACATGGCTGCCACCGACAGGGATGCAGGAATGTGCACAATGATGTCACAGCACAGGTCATTGTTGTGCTGGTCATTGTGGTGGGGGAACACACTTGACAGAGGGTGTCATTTTCAGAGGCAACCTTATGTTGTGCATCACCTAGGCTGAATTGAAGGGTATCATTGAACACTAGTTCTTGCATTCCACGTATTCCCAACACTTAAAGGGGAAGCGGGATTTTATCTCCGCTTACTGAAATTTCCTGAGCATTTGGTGGGCAGGGTAGAGAAAAGAAAAGGTGGAGAGGTCAGGCTCCAGCTCTGCCAGAATGAAGTTAGAATGGAGTAACCTACACAGGAGGCAAGACAATGCTTTGGACAGAATAAAGAGATTGCTTTCGCAAACACAGAAGCTGTCCAGTTCTCAGAGAGAAACAGAGCTGTTCTGAGAACGGAACAGGCAGGCTCCCTTCCCCAGCTGGCAGCCACAAAACAGAAGTGCAAGTGTGAAGAATGGGACACTATAAACTTTTGCAATATAGATTTCTTTGGAGCGCCGCAGAGCTGGGATGTATGTATCATATACACAGACACATACTTCTTTTCAAATCTGCACAACAATTCAAGCATGTGAAAATGTACTAGCATAGTCTGGGGAATTTATTCTGCCTCTGCCCACCACAGTGGCAACATATTGTCAAAGAAAGGATTCTGTGGAATTCAGGATGCCGAGTTCAAGAGATGTGCATACCATTCGGACAGGGATGCAGAAGACACATACAGCTCTGCCTACAATTAGTTAATGAAGCTTAGCTACCCAAGAGCGAAGCAAGAGGATAAGTTGGTAGTTCAGGCAAAAGTCTAAAAGGCAGAAAAACACAATATATACTTAGCTCCGTCATTGAATGGTGGTGCATCTTTTGGTGAGCTGCTGTTAAGAGTTACAGCTAAAAAGAATGTTTTGTTCCTTTCGGACCAGCACCAACCATAAACCCACCTTTCCTCCATCCCAATCACATGTTAGCAGCCAGCTGGAGTACAGATAATCTGAAATCAGATGTTCATACTTAAAAGGTAAAATATATTCTGACCATGTACATGTTCAAAAAAGAAAGAAAAAACAGCATACACAGCCATGTATCGCAGATTATTTTTTTTTAAAGATGAGAACAATCCTATGTACTCTTACCTGGCAATAAGTCCCAATAAGTTGTGAGAAAGTACAGGATCAGGCAGCACTGGCATTGACGATATCGAACATGCAACTACTACTGAAGCACATCTTATTAGATGCGAGTGCCTGTAATGACCAAGCCTACTGCTAGTTGCTGTACAATGTTCACTTCAAAATGGTTAAATTGAAATAAGGACAGCAATATCCCGAGTGGAAAATTTAGGAGCTAGGAACCATGATAATGAAATACAACATTTAAATATAGATTTGAACTATAAGCGATCTGCAGAATACAAATCAGCAAGCTTCACTGATGTTTGATCATACCTTTTGTAATACTACTAACCTTGAATGATGCCACTTCAAAACTAACTCCAGAGAATAGGCAGTCTTGTTTTATTTGCATGCATCACTGGTATTTGGCAGAGGAATATTTGCTGAAGTGGCCTTTGGCTGTTAAAATGAACCACAACAGCTAGCACTGCAAAAACCCACAACCCCCTAGCCCACCCCGTCCACATTTCCTTAAGAAGCTTCATTTGTGCTGCCAAGAAGCAGAAGAGCGCTGGGCTTTGGAGTCACCTCTAAGAAATGTCTCTTTCCATTACGATCCGGCGAAAGTCCTTGAGGCTGAGCCGTGCAGCTTGTTCCTGTCTCTTCTGAAGTGCTGCTGCTGCCGCCACTTACAGAAGGCGAACCTTCAGGCTGCTCCGTAAGCCTAATTGCCGCCTGCATTTGCTTCCCTAATTCCTCTATCAGTTTCCCGGGAACAGATGTAGATTGCAAAGGAGCCTTTGATTTTTCATTACTAGCATCTAACGTCAAAGTGCCTATGTCTCGCCTTAATCCATTACAGTCAATAAGCAGGGCTGTCCTCTCCTCTTGGAGTGTGCTTTGTAAAGGATTTATTTCCCCATCTTCGCTGGCTGAGGACTCTTGTTCATCTGAATCGGAGTCTCCTGTCTCATATGATGAAGTGCTGCTTGAGTCTTCAGAGTCACTCGCAGCAGCTCCTTCGGAGGGAGGCAGCTGCGGCTTGGAGACGTCTGTGCCAGCAGCTTTTAACTCCTTTTCTTCCTCTTGCACGAGAAGGGCCGCTGCTTCCAGCTCGTCAAGCTCGAAACCTAATTTGGCCTTGCTCAGCTCTGCTTTCTGCACGCATTCGGCAAGGGCTGCCAACTTCTTTGACCTTTAAAAGGAGGAGAGAGAAAGAGAGAGAGTGCATACATTTTGGTTACACTCTGTGCGGCTGACAGATACAAAGATTATCAAAACCAACAAACCTCGGTGATGACAAAACTGTAACTGTGGTTGCCCAAATTCCCAGAACGTGCAGAAACTCACAACGCATTCCATTTAACTCTTTCCAGACCCTCAGCACCACATTATGAAAGAACACTTCTATCTGAAGATTTGATTAGCTGATATCCCTCAAGTAATTGGGACAACATGAAGCTGTACATCTCTCTAGCCTAGAGCATTCACAACACTTTAGCAAAGTGCAAAAGTTATGTCAGAAGATGGAACAGAAGGAAATAGCAGGAGGAGGTAATCTTCTATTTAAGTTGAGTTCCTACCACTATTAAAACTGGTATCAAGCCTAATATCAGACTGGAGTGGAGTGGGGAAACACACTATTAATCTGCACGTGGGTATGTCGCTAGTGACTAGGGCTTGGAAACAAATATCTGTGGGCTCCATTTTTGATTGGATAGGAAAATGTGTCCCATACCTTCTCGAGCTTGTATTATCTATACGAGAAAGATGACAACCTGGTCTCTTTTTACCACCACTGCCTATGATATGATAAGGCAACCTGGTACAGTTCTGTGGTAAACCTCATGCAAATAAATCACAATAAGCAATAATTTGTACAGCCTGGTGAATGGTTTTGTTCCCCTCGGTTAGGAGATTGCAAAAGGGGGAGTCTGAAAGGTGAATTCTCACTGCTCAAATAGGCTGCATTTAACACAGCAAGTTTCACAGGTTGCAACGGAATCGCAACTATACGCTCCGAGACACCATAACGTAACAGACGTTGGTGTTTACGTAAGTTGTTGTTAATGAATCAAACAGTAACTCAAGAAATGGTAATAAATATTACAAGAATACTTTCATTGCAATAGCGCTACTGAACTGTCCGAGGCCACTAATATGGGAAGTCTCCAAAGCCACTAATAAGAGTTAATGCTGTTAAATTAAGAAATAGGAGCTGCCTGCCCACCTCTATGGACACAGTGATCAGCATCCTTTTCAGTGCGCAGATCAATGGCATGAAACAAGGGCATGTTTGTGTGGGATGAGCTGTGCGTGTAAGAAAACAGGACAATGTGTCAGAACACTTTAACCCTGCGCCACAAACGGAGGACGCTTTGTTTCATTTGACTTTTTAAAAAAAGAAAAAAGAATGATGGGGATTAATTTAAACAAATTAATGGCTTCAATAAGCATTTAATGACGGCACAGTAACTAATCTGTAACACTTGAATTAAGGGAACCTTACTGCTACACTTGCATGTGTTATTTCCTTTTAACAGAGAAGGGTGCTCTCTATGCTGGCTGAGTGCTTTTCAATACTTTTACAGAGGTCAAACGGAGCAAAACGGAGCTGCAATTTTGGCCTTCGCAGAATGCAACTATCCGCTTTCCACAGAACCGGAGCTGTGCTCATTCAGTTACAGTCTTCCCCATCTCACAGCAGAGCACCTCTCCAGGGTCTCAGACACTAGTTTGTCTCTGCTTTGCTACCTGAGATTCTGTAACTCAAAGCACCAGGAGCTGAACCTAGGACCTTTTGGATGTGCTCTGCTGCTGAGTTACAACCTTGCCTTTAATAGCCTTATAATTGGGGTTGAGCTAAAACATTCTCCCGGAACCTTAAAAAAAAGGGAAAAAAGATGTTGCTTTGCTTCTTGGAATGGAAGCAATTTGGGAAAGGGTTAGAGCATTTTTTTAAGGCAACTGCTTGTCCCCATCTTTACCACACACTTTAAAATAAAATTCCTATAGGGGATTTTTTTTTTTTTTAAGGCATGCACTGTGTGTTATACTGAGTAATTATCCCCCCTGGGAACTAGAATATAAAGATCTTTAAAATCATTCAGCTGAGAGAACAAGCACTTTAACTTTCGCCTCACAGGAGTTGTGTATTACATTATCAGCTGCTCGCTCTGGTGTCATTGTGTCATGCCTCGCAGGTTAGCAGGGTTTGGCAGAGGAAATGAAACCCAGTCAGTTACGGCAGGATTTATAGCAGACCTGCTGTTGCAGGAAGTGGTGAAAAGTTGATTGATAGCCTGAGACAAAGCTCTACTGCAAAAAAACACACACAAAAAAACAGGATGCACGTCTGCTATTTATACCTGGCTTCCCTTTCTTCCTCTCTCCCTCCTTGATCCATATTTCATACTACTCTGTTGCTTTGTTGTTCTCTTCACTGTGTAAAAAGAAAAGAGGGGGAGCCTTCTAGGAAAGGATATATTTTTGGCATTCTGGCAAAGCTGAAAACTTCCCCATTTATAATTCCCAGGAGAGGTGACGTCTCCTAATTATTGTCCCATAGCAAAGTTATTTTAAAAAATCAAAACCCTCACAGCAGAAATATCCAGATGCCTTTGCCAACCTGCTGCCCTCCAGATGTTTTGCACTGCAACTCCCATTAACATCTTGAAGACACTTGGCTGGTGAAGGCCGTCCTCAAAGCCGCAAGGAGTACAACCCAAATCCTTTAAATCGCAGGCGCTTTGGCATATTTGGGCAAAGCACCTGCTTTTGGAGACAGTTGGAACTGCATGTGCATGAGGCTGGTCAATAATCCGTCTTCCTCAAAGCAGGAGGCATTCAGGCAAAATGATAGCTCAGTCGGTAGAGGAGCAGATTCTTAAACCTCAAAGTCATGAGTTCGAGTTGCACATTGGGCAAAAGATTCATTCATTGCATGGGGTTGGACTAGATGACCCTTGTGGTCCCTTCCAACTCTACAGCTCTATGATTCTACGACCTTTTAGCACTGTGGTTTAAAGTAGCTGTGTTTTAGAAGCTGTACGCCTTCTTTCTTGACAATTTGGAGAGACGGTGCCATCTGTTCATATGTTATGGGGGGCACAGGCTGCATCTAGCTTGTCAAGCCACTTCTATTGGTTCACCAACCCTCAAAAAATTCAGGCAGCTCATCCCTGCTTTTCCTGGCAAAGGCACCTCTTTCCCCTCTGGCAGGGCACCCTGCAAGAAAGTCTTGGTGCTCAGATGGGCAGGGTATAAAATAAAAATAATTATTAAACAGGGACAGAGCCTTCCTGTTGCCCGAGCACTAAGGCCTTCTTCCAATGGTGTCATGCCAGAGGGAGAAGATGTGCCTTTGCAAGGTTAAGTGGACAGCTTTCCTCTCCATCCCAGTCCTGGGCTGGGAGGAGAGGTCCCTCTGCTGATCAGCAACAGAATGGAGAGGCTGTCTGAATGTGTGTGTGTTACTATTCTTTATTGGATTTCCTAAGCACCCTTCACCATAAGGTCCCAGGGCAGGTTGTTGTTGTTGCTTAGTCGTTTAGTTGTGTCCGACTCTTCGTGACCCCATGGACCAGAGCACACCAGGCACTCTTGTCTTCCACTACCTCCCGCAGTTTGGTCAAACTCATGCTGGTAGCTTTGAGAACACTGTCCAACCATCTCGTCCTCTGTCGCCCCCTTCTCCTTGTGCCCTCCATCTTTCCCAACATCAGGGTCTTTTCCAGGGAGTCTTCTCTTCTCATGAGGTGGCCAAAGTATTGGAGCCTCAGCTTCACTATCTGTCCTTCTAGTGAGCACTCAGGGTTGATTTCCTTAAGAATGGATATGTTTGTTCTTCTTGCAGTCCATGGGACTCTCAAGAATCTCCTCCAGCACCATAATTCAAAAGCATCAATTCTTTGGCGACCAGCCTTCTTTATGGTCCAGCTCTCACTTCCATACATCACTACTGGGGAAACCATAGCTTTAACTATACTGACCTTTGTTGGCAAGGTGATGTCTCTGCTTTTTAGGATGCTGTCTAAGTTTGTCATTGCTTTTCTCCCAGGGCAGGTTACAACGATATAAAAATACAGACCCTGTATCAGTTAAAACAATGTATAATCAGAAGAATAGGGCGGACAGGGCAATGAGGTACGATGAAAGCTATACAATGAAGATGCTAGACACACCTATGAGGACGAAATTCCACAGCTTCGGGGCTTCATCAGAGGGTGCCCTCTCCAGGGACACTATGCCCCAAAGCTCTGAGGGTGATGGAACTACCAAGAGGGATCTCTTTGCCGATCTTAACACCTGAGAGGGACTGTAGGGAAGGAGATAGTCTTCCAGATATTTGGGGCCTAAGCTGTTTAGGGCTTTAGGGGGACATAGGACCTTCAAATCAGGCCTGGAAGCAGACTGTCAACCACTGTAGGCATTTTAAAACTGGGATTGCATGAGTTATAAAATGAACCCTGGCCAGTACCCCTGCTGCACTTTGGACCAGTTAAAGTTTCCGAGTCATAGTTAAGGGCAGGTTCCATGAAGAGCATGTTTAAATACAGTGGTACCTTGGGTTACATACACTTCAGGTTACATATGCTTCAGGTTACAGACTCCGCTAACCCAGAAATAGTGCTTCAGGTTAAGAACTTTGCTTCAGGATGAGAACAGAAATCGTGCTCCGGCGGCGCAGCGGCAGCCGCAGGAGGCCCCATTAGCTAAAGTGGTGCTTCAGGTTAAGAACAGTTTCAAGTTAAGAACGGACCTCCGGAACGAATTAAGTACTTAACCCGAGGTACCACTGTAGTCCAGTCTGGAACTTACTGGAGCATGGAATGCAAAGGCCAAGTATATCTCTAGCAACCAAGGCCACACCTGTGCCTCCACTGACAATGTTGGAGCCACACGATGAAAGCGTACTCTCTGTGCATGGCTTGTTTGTGTGGAGAGTATGCATGTGCATGCTCTGACCATGCCACCACTGGCATGCGGTTTTCAAAAGATTGACCAATCCTCAATGTGGCCCTCAGGCCTAAATGGGTGGCCATGCCTGTTGCAGGGGCAATAAACCTTGTGGTACGTTCCCATTTACCACCACTTAATTCTTCAGCCCACTCTCTCATCCAAGCAATGCAAACCTTGGAACATCTTGCTGTGGTCCAGCACTATGGGAATGAATCCTGCATCTGCACACTCTGC